CCAGAGAGTCTGCGACGAGTGGAACAGATTGTGGGCAAGAAGTTGAAGGCCTTCTATAAGGTGGACATCTCTGACGAGAAGACAATCGATGGCATCTTCGGTGCCAACAAATTCGATGCAGTCATCCATTTCGCAGCCCTCAAGGCTGTGGGAGAGTCGTGTCAAATACCTCTGGCCTACTATCGCAATAACGTCGGCGGAACCGTCACTCTGCTCGACATCATGAAGAGGAATGGCGTCAAGAAGTTTATCTTCTCGTCTTCGGCCACAGTGTACGGCTCTGCAGACTATCTGCCTATCGATGAAAGCCATCCGACGGGCAGGAACTGCACGAACCCATACGGAAAGACCAAATACTTCATCGAAGAAATACTTAAAGATCTCTGCGTTTCAGAGAAGGGATGGTCTGTGGCTTCTTTGCGATACTTTAATCCCGTCGGCGCTCACGAGTCCGGAGAGATCGGCGAAGATCCGCACGGAGTGCCTAACAATTTGATGCCTTATTTATGTCAAGTGGCGGTTCGGCGCAGACCTTATCTCAATGTGTTTGGCAATGACTTCAAGACCAGCGATGGCACTGGTGTTCGCGATTACATCCATATTATGGATTTAGCGAAAGGACATGTCATGACTTTGGACACAATGCTCGCAGAGAACTGGAACGGTTGGAATGTCTTGAATCTGGGCGCCGGTCGCGGCTATTCTGTTCTCGATGTATGTATACATCGTTTGTTTGAGTTCTTGTCTCCAATAGTTTCATGAGTTTTTGGTCACTATTTTAGGTGATCTCAGCGTTTGAGGAGTCGACAGGAGTGAACATTCCCTACAAAATAGTTGACAGACGTTTGGGAGACATCGATGAGCTCTGGGCTGACGTCCAGAAGGCTAACGACAAACTCAATTGGAAGGCAGAGCTATCGTTGAAGGATATGTGCGCTCACAGCTGGAAATGGCAGTCAAAGAATCCGATGGGCTATCAGACCAGTGAAGTGGTTGCTGTCAAAAATGGTGTCTCCAATGGAAATCATTCCAATGGTAATGGTGTGAACGGAAGCAATGGAAACAATTTAAAGGCAATTAATGGCAATAAGAATTAAGGTCTTCACAGCACTCGTTGAAATNGTGGTTGCTGTCAAAAATGGTGTCTCCAATGGAAATCATTCCAATGGTAATGGTGTGAACGGAAGCAATGGAAACAATTTAAAGGCAATTAATGGCAATAAGAATTAAGGTCTTCACAGCACTCGTTTAAATTTGCATCAAATTTACGTTAAAATCTTTATTGTATTAATAATACAGTATTGAAAACTAGTCTTTAATTTATTTCGCTATTTATTGACTCGTTCTTAAACATCGCTTACAATGACTTGTTATTTAAATATCATTTAGTAATGGTTTCACACAATGAAAATGTTTTAAAACTCTATTTTAGCGCTCTTTAAATGTTTTGTTATAAAACCTATTTATTATTATATTAATGATTGTACTGTAAAAATATTTATTCTTTAAATAAAAGCTATTTCTCGTAAATTCTTTTCTGAATTATATTTAGCGCCAAATGTGGAGATATAGAGGAGATGTGCATCTCTTTGAGGGCTACCTTCGCGTCGGTGTTATTGCGGTCGTCGACCAGAATGTCTTTGAGGAGCAGATGAGTGCCTCTCTCGAGGTTCAGTAGTTTTAGCGCTTCATTAAGCGTTGCGAAATGGAGTTGAGGTCTCGTTATATATAGTCTGAAAACAGACAGCAATCCAACCGATATGTCGTAATCCATTTGTTTGGCACCAAATTCATTGAATGAGTTCTTGAGAATCACATCTTCCAGTAAACTTCGATTTATCTGATCCGCCATTTCGTGTAAAATGGTGTCGAATAAAGTGTTTGATAAAGATTTTTGCAATGAGACTAAGTTTGTAGATATAAAGTGCAATAATTGCGAGGCATTAGGACTCAGGCAGTTGTCTATAGATTTAAGACAAAACCATTTGGTCGACTGATATGCCTGTAGTTTATCTCGAAATTCACTTAAAAATAAAGTTTTTATTTGGAGAATGAATTCATTCAACACGTGTTGAAACAGTCCTATAATTGGGTCAAAGACCGTCTCATTCGGTGAATATGTTTCTGATATTTGCACAAAAAATGGCAAAATCTTCCACTCATTTAAGACTACAATCAAGTAATTAAATGTA